CCAATTTAGCTTTTTTTATTGGCACAAAATGATGGACCATCAAAGCCAAAATACATTTCACTTTGGTAATCAATATCTCTACTCATGTATCAATCATGGATCAGAAATTAATAAAAGAGTTATGAATAGCTGAAGCTTACTCATCAAGATATAAAACGCTGTTTCCAGTACAAAAACGTTTGCTGATGTGACAAATCGGTGAAAAAAATGTTTTACCATGAAATCCGTTTTTTAATTAAAGCCTATAGAAATTACTGAATGAGCAATTAGCTGTAATAACTCATGGTTCACTTTTAACATATAAATACATAAAATTAAACTTTAAAGTTAACAATCGATTATTCAAAGCAATATTTTTTCCCCTTGTTTACTGTGATTAACTTTAGCTCTATTTATTTCGTGTCCGCTTTGTTTCTATTAGATACCTGGTAATGTTTAACAATGAATTTATACGCTCAATGTATCTTGATTCCATCCCGGTTGTGTTTTAACAACAAACACGATCGGATTTAATTTTATTGAAAATGTCCTTGTGGCCAAAAAAAATATCGACCCCGACTCTTTTGAACTGGTTTGCTGCTTACAGCAGCAAGTCAACCGCTTAATGATGATGCAATATTTTTCAACTGATAATCATTCAATCTCATCACTCAAGATGAATAAAATAGAAACATTTTTACTATCAATTTAAAAGCAATTTTTTTCTAGTTAAAATTTTGAATTTCTTCATTTTGTATGCATAAAATTATTTCAATAAACTAAAGTTAATTTAATTTAATTAAAAAAATATCAATGAAACTCTGATATGAAAAAGTAATATAACAACAGTAGAAATAACTTTGATCTTTAGATGTAAAGAAAAATTTGCAGGAGCAATAATAAAAAAAAGCTTTTGAAATGTACCAACAGAACAATGTCTTGAAAAATAAAGTCACGGTACACTAAGCAAAAAATTCAGAAGAATGTTGTTCTACAATGCATTTTTATGAACTATCTACACAGAAATACCCTTATATATTGTGTTTTATTTTTTAGCTTCTTTATTGTGCTTTTTGCTTTATATTTCTTCCATCTCAACTCGTTTGTAGTATAGATAACAAAAGGTAATTAAGTTAACGTAACTTGACTCAACTGTTTTTTTTTTTATTTAATTAATTAACAAACTTTATTTTATTCTGTACTTTTGTTATTCTTAATATCGCGCTCTTTATATTGAAGAAAGAGAAATCTTCACGTAAACGGGTCATAATATTCCCTTAAGAAATGTATACCATCTCGTGATGATTTCTCAGAATTACGTCGGAGATGAATCTTTCAAGTGACCTACTATGTGTACCACTTATATTACGTTATAGTTATGACCTTATCGTTTTTATTAGATTTTTTTACTTTATTTTTAAACGACGTTTTACATTGTCATGTTATCTTGAGATTTATAATTCTGTTTGATTATTTAATAACCGAAAATCTATTACACTAATATTTATCGTTCTATGTTTGTTTAATTTGCTTTTTCGAGATATTCCGATTTATTCGTGTGAATAATTTCTAGAGGATACAATTTATTTATTTATAAATTTTCTTGAATTGCGCTGACTTTAACCATTGATCCTATTTATATATTCGAGTTTATATTGGCGATATTGTTTTCAATTTTGTTATCCGACCGGATACAAATGAAAACTGAACTGAAACTTATGAGTAATTTAATATCAGTATTCTCGTATCAAATATCTAATGCAAATATGAAAAGAAGTTACAAAATAAAACTTAAAAATAGTATTTTTAATGATAAATTTCTATTTATTTATTTATGAAGTTATACATAGATGCGAGAGCTATAAAAAACAGGAGCTGAATTAATCATTAGGTATGGAGATAATAGAATTATTCTTTTATTAAAAATTCTTTAACTAACGAACGCATTAACATTTTTCAAATGAAAACTGTAATGCCTGATCTTCAATGATTTTCATGGATAAAAACGCGATCCCGTGAAACTTTTTAGTTCTTTAGAGCTTCTAATTTTGAAAATCAGCTGTGGAGTATCGTAAACTTCCGTAATTAGACTTTCCAAGCAATTAAATCGGTGAAAATTATTCAGAAAAATTATTATATAATTCTGTGGGTCGTAAACTCCACTTGATACCCAACATATAATTTTAGTAACCAAAATAACTGTGAAAGACTTCAAATGAATAAATTTTATTTCTAATGTTAAATTTAATAACAACCAGTTGGATAAAAAAAACTTTGACTGTCAATCCCCTTAGCTTTGCGTTCCACCGGACATTAATTACTATCCACGGGAAAAAACTACTACTTGCTAGTAGAAAATAAAAATAATGAGATTTTTACCATCAATAACAAGAATCGTTTACGCCCATGATTATTAATAATTAATAAAATACAGTAGGAATTGAGGACGGTGTGTGCTTGATAACTTTTTCACTTTTATTTAGTTGATTAATTTGGCCCGTCAAGGTTCCAAGTTATTGATCACATGGTAGTCAATATAATCAAATCAATATCAATATATACACCATCAAATAACTAATATAATTAGCTATTATTCTTTCAATATCCTTTTTCGGCATCTTAGCCGCTGACATTTGTTTTTAGTTAAGGAAAAGTTCAAAGTCAACTATATGTATGTCGCTAACAAGTTATCAAGCGCCAAATATTGTCCTCAGTTCCCACAATACCATCCCGTTTTTATAAATCAAAATTTAACTATTCGAAGAATTATAATTCTAACTAATAGATTACTCGTTTAATTACAATATAACTTTAATCCGTAATTTCTCCTTTTATTTTAGGAAAAACCAATTATTTTCATTAAAATTTATCTCTCATACTTTTCTAAATTTTATTTAAATAATATATAAACATTCGATTAACTATCATGGCTTTAATAATAGCCATAATTTCTCCAATGAATATTTACTCATGCATTTATCTTGTTCGTTTCCAATAAATATTCATAAATTCTCTCCTCAATTCATCTCTCCCCCTAAATAAAAACTATATGAAACAAAATATCAGGCATTTATTAGATTGAATCAATAAGCCGTCAGAAATAAATAAATTGTCAAGAAAAAAAAATCCAAAGCAAACCAAAAAAGTAAATTTCATAAAAAATTATTTAAACGGCTATCGATATAACCAATCAACGAATTTTCATCCCAGTAATTTAATTGTCTCAATTTATCCAGTGGGACAAATCCCCAGCCGCCTAGAATATCTAGTGTCCTCTCATTTCTCATTTTCAAATAAATGAATAAACAGATACCAAAAAAAAAAATAACAACATACATATTCGAGTTGAATTTTTCAATACATATTGAACTTAATTCTAAAATAAATATTTTTTTACCGACTGACTGACTGATTGATTGATAGTACGAATTGGATATATCAAATCCTAGAAGCCAAAAGGCTACTTGAAATTTTTTATTTGCTATCCAAAAAAAATTAAGTAAAAAATTTTAATATACTCAATCTATTCTTCTAGTAGAATTAAATATACTACAAGGATAATAATTTGTTATCAAAAACTTGAATGAAATAATTGGTGATTTTCTTTAAAATTTATTTTGATAAAGAAAAATGTTTAAAATTTCCAAAAATTTACATGCTTGTAACAAAAAGGCTCTTTTTTCTCAACAGAAATTTTTTCTTTTAGTGCAATTTATTATATATTTAACATATAGGTAAAATTATAAAAGAACACAAAATTTCTACACTGAAAAAAATTAATTTGACTCAAGAGCCAAAATCTTAAACCAAGAATACCATTTTGAAGAAAATAATTTTCTTGAGACAAGAAAAATTTACTTAAATCAAAAATAATTTCTTGACTCAATAATTTATTCTTTTGACTCAAGAAAATCATTTTTTTCAAAATAGTATTCTTGGCTCAAGATTTTGGCTCTTGATTTAAGTTAATTTTTTTGGTTCCACAACAAAATCTCTTCGGAAAAAATCTTCCCGACAAAATACGCTTCAAAATCTCGTTGTCCATTACAACTGCTAGGAATAATAATATTATAATTTAAAATTAGATTTTAGAGGGTAGATTTTGTCGTGTCAACAATTTTTTTATCAGTGTAACAATTATTATTTTCTAAACCTAGTAACAAAAAAATTGCGCTATAACATCAAATGCAATGATTAAGTTTCAAAAAAGTCTAACACCGTCACAAAAATAAACTTCCAATAAATTTTAGTAAAAAAAGTATTTAACAGTAACACTATTGTATATAACAAAAGACTAAATAGCATTAACGACAGTTCTAGTACATATCGAAGTCCAAGCCCGTAGAAGCTAAAAGATAGTTACGTAGAAGCGATTGAGAGAATTCAAAGTGTTGGATAAGAAGTCGTTTGACCGATAGACATGACTGTAATACTCAACACTATCGTCAAGAATCCTTGGAGAGTTTGAGTTTGATATACTTGAATAGATCCAGTACGGGTACTAGCACAAGTACGAGAGAGTGGAGGTTCTTATACAACCCTCACATCACTCCTCTGTTCTTGCTCTCATCTAAGTGTATCAGTATTGTCGACGTCTACATACAGTTGAATAAAGGTAAAAGTAGCACCCTAGACCTGAGTCTGAATCCAACAGACAAATAGAAGAATCAGGGATGCTGAAGGATCAGGAGCATGATAGAGAGAACCAGACTTGCGCGCGTGATAATAGATCGTTTGATCTGGTTTTCTCCACACAGAAGCGTCAACACCATCATCCTCCTATAGACACAGATACAGATATGTGTAATGCATGTAATGTCTCCTTCCGAGACTATATATAAGCCAGGTTCGCACGCGGCGGCTTACAGCTTTCGCGGCTTCCATCGCACGACCATCCACGTCGATTCGCTTGATCGTTTACATCATTTTAATGAAAAATAAAAAAAAGTATCTTTTTCTCTGTTCGCCTACGTAAATGTAGATTGCAACTGTGGTTTATTATTGTTTAATTATTTTTTGAAATGATAACAGATAAAATGAAGAATTTTTTATTACTTTACGTGTGTTATTATTTTATACTTTGTGCCACGGCAATTGGGTACGGTTCTGATGATTACGACCATTTTCCAGCGAAATCATGCAACCAAACTGAATTCAAGTGCAAGAGCGGCAAGTGTATACCCGGAAATTGGCAGTGTGACAACGAACATGACTGCTATGATGGCTCTGACGAGGATCCTGCTGTTTGCCGTAAGTTTTTAATTTTTTTCTCTGCTTTCATATTTTTAACTTGGTAATAAGGATTTTAGCTGGCAGGTATTTACGGAAATTTAATTAAAAATTCTTTGCTATAATTACTATTTAGTTTTTTAGGTTGATAAGCTGGGCTTTTGTTGGAAGTTTTGGAAAATTTCTTTTTCTTACTAAAAGTTTTTAAAATTACAAGTTTTTTTTTAATATTAACTTGATATTTTTCGATTTATAATTTAGTGATAAAGAAAAATATTTTTTTTTATTTTATTGAAAGAATTTCTGAACTTACACCAATCTTATTAAATTAAATTAAATAAAATGATACATTTAAATATAAATAAAGAATTTTAAATTAATAAAATAAATTTTAAAAAGCTTATAAAAAATTTTAGCTTATATACATATTTTTGATCAAATTATTCTTCAAAATTTTTCAATTTTTTTTTATGGTCATTAAATTTTGTAAAAATTTACTACTAGTCTATTTTGAAAAAAGAAAAAAATCTTTTAATCAAAAAATTTTTTTGAATAGATTGATTATTTTGAATTAAGAAGAAAACTATTGAATTAATAAAATAGTACTTTATCTAAATGAATTTTACTTGACACGAAAATTTTTTTTTTTTTAATAAAATTAATTTTTTATAAGTTAATTTTTTTTACTCGTGAAAAAAGTTACTAAAAAGTTTATTAATATTTATTACTATAGATATTCACAAACTTCAGCTAGAAAAAAAGATAATTTTTTATTGATTAAAATCTAAATAATTAATTAGTCAAATATTAATTCAAACATACGTAGAAAATGGATTAATGAAATTACATGAATTCCCAAGCTCAAATTTATAAAAGCAGTATTTTTGAATGTAGGATGTAGATTTATAAAACAGATAAAACGTCAGTATGAATGTACGTAGAAAGGTATCCATTTGCATAGAATACGAAAGCAGGAAGTAGCCGGGTTAATGATAACAAGGGCCAATCGAGATCTTTTATACCAAAGTGCAACCAAAGCTATATATTTTCGTCTACATGTGTATCGCAAAGCTAAAAAATCAAAGATAAACTTTGTACATATTTATACATATATCTACGTCTAAAAACTCCAGTACACAAGATAAATTCAATTATAACACGCACTCACATTTATTATCAAGCTGCACACGAGCACTTAACATTTTATATAATTTATTAAAAATTCAATATGTCAAGAGCGTATACAAAAAATTTATATATCTCTCTGGATATTACAAAACCTATATATGATATACATGCAGTATTAATTCAAAGTTTGCGCACAATGGCAAGCCGAGACTCAGAGATAGTAAAATTGTTTAGCTTATTCAGCAGCTACCGTTGAATATATACCATAAATATATTATCTCCTCTATTTTTATAAATACAATTTTTTTTTTATATTTATTTTGCTGACATTAAGCATTAATTTATCTTATCACTACACGCGCCTTTTGAATTTTTTTTTTAATTCTCAGATTTTTTGAATTTCAATTACAATAAAAAAATTATTAATTGTTTTGAAGAAAGCGTTTGTGATTGTAATCACTATAAATAGATTTAACAATTGTGTTTTAATATTCGAGTTTAAAGGCAATATTTACTTTATCAGATTGAATTCTTTGGATCGCTTTATTAAAAGTTTGCTCAATGAAACTTTTTTAAGTAAATATTAATTGAAAAAGTGGAAACGCTTTTTAATACAATTCTCAAACAATAATAATAATATTTACTTTTATTATTGTGAAAGAAGTTATCATTCAATAATTAATTATTTATTCAACTACGCGTTAACTGACCAGAAAATTATTTATGAGTTTTAATTAAATAAGCTTTGTGTTTATTTTAAGACAATTGTATTAAACAATTAATTTTTGCTTAAACTAAAAACTTTAAATAAATAAATTACGGGATTTTTTTTTTAATTTAACTTTTTGAACAGTGAATTTTTTTTTAATTAACAAAAAGTAAAAATTTAGTATTTTTAATTAAAAGATTTTTAAAAAATAATTTATTATTTTTGAATCAATAATTATTTTAGTATAATTTTTATTATATTCATACTTATGATAATTAACAACAGTTGATAAATAATTTTAAGGATTAGCAAATTTATTATCAATAATCATTTATCATTTATAATTTTTGTCTCGTCAGATTTTTGGGCGACTATTAAATTTTGGAAAAACAAGAAAAATTGAATCAATATTTACAAAAAATAATAAAAATAAATTTAATAAACTATCAAACTATAAATAAATATAAGTCAGCAAAATTTTTCCTTACATTAGTAAAAATTTTATCAGAAAAATGAAACGGGTCATTTGTTTTTGCGTTCACTTGAAAACAGATTGAGATCATAGTTCCACTCTAATTATTAGTTTGATTACGCGCTGTAGTGATGATGCAATGAAAATCAGCGTATCTGTTGAATTTATTTAAGTTATCAGTGCGCACATGGTTAATACTGCAAATAATTAATAATTCAAGTTTCAATTAGTACCCCGAATCCTAGATTGTAATAACCAATAATGTAACTACAATTATTGTCGATAATTAGTAAATTAGTACCATAACTATTATTTTATTAGATAAGTAAAATACACTTGTGCTTAAAATTTAATTTTGATTAAATTACATGTTTGCTAATTAATTAATTACCTAATGTGTGTGGTAAAATTTAAACCAAAGGGCTGAAACCATGCAGTAGGGAAACAGAATTTCAATGTAGTCCAGGTGAATGCATCGCTAAATTCTGGATTTGTGATCACCAAAATGATTGTCAAAATGGAGCAGATGAGATAAATTGTCACAGTAAGTTTATCGATCGATCCCGAAGCATCCGACGATAATAATATAGTTCTGCGTCAGAGACAAGAGAATAAATTACACTATGTTTGTATAATATATTACATTTTGGAAATCTTAATCTGAGAGAGTAGAAAATATTTTTTCATTCCTTTTCTTATTTTAGATTTACGATCCGCTACGGAACAGATGATAGAAACTTCCATTTTTATAACCATTTTTTTCAGGAGATAAATTATTTCACCAAATAATAATAATAATCATTTTGGAACTGCATGTTAAAAAAATGTTGAGAAAAATTCAAACATAACCAGAACTATTGATCCTAAGTTAATTCCGTTTCACACATTATTTAAATATTCAAACATTCATAAAAGCTATTTAAGTGACCATGAAACTTTAAAACTCAAGAGTATAATTACAATATTATTTTATGGACTTCAGCCATATATGCTCCAGTTAATAACACACCTGAGCTATCATTATTGAACTTTTCATTTTTTTCAAATAATCAATTATAAATTTTTTTACTTTTCGTAATTCACAGCCATAACTTCTACAAGATATGCGTACAACTTATTTTATTATAAATTTATCGGTATTAATAACCAATAATTAATGGCGATAAAATTCTTTTAAGGAAAAAGTTGTACAGTATTAGCAACTGATGCTAATTCTGGATATTAATAGTTTCAATAATGAAAACCGAATTAATTCTCTTACTGCAAACTAGTATACAATGTATTTTACATGACATTCTATGTACGATATATTATATATTATATACTTGAGGATACGTCAATATCATGCACATCAATACTGCCATAATCCACAAATCCTATTATGATTTTGTTACACAATTATTTTATTCTTGCTTTTGTTATAAAGTCGGAAATTAAAGTTTGAGAAGTTGTATATTTGAAATTGAACCAAAAATTGTGAATATTTTATTCTTTTTTGTTATAAATGCTGGCAATTATTATTGATAATAACATGATTATAATTAACTTTAGTTTTTTGATTATTATTTTGAATAAACTAGTCAAAATTTCAAAATAAAAATATCAAACTCGAGAATTTTTTTAATTTCAGAAAATTTTAATTGATTTAATATTTATTCAAAAATTATATTTTTGATCTTTTTAAAAATATTTCATCATTTTTCTAATTTTGAGCTTAAAAATTTTCAATTTAAATTTAAAAATAAAAACACCAAAAACAAATTAACTCATCTAAAAAATCTTGAACTAAGAAACTTATTTTTAAAACTTTAATCTTATAAAAAAATTCTTACATTAAAAAATTTTACTTGATTCAAATTTTTTCTATTGAATCAAATTAATTTTTTTATCAATATACAGAACAAAAGTTTATCTTATTTGCTAAAAATAATTATAAGCACAAAAAACCATCAGTTTTTAATTGAATTCTAAAAAAAATAATCAAGACTTTTTTTGTAACGAGAATAATAAATAAAAATGTTTTCAATTAAATTAAACATAACTGGATCTCCAAAAGTCAGAATTTGTATCAACCATACTAATGAACCTAAATATCATTTTACATAATATCTCCCTCAATTAATCACATTTTGAACATTATTGTTCAATAACAACCAAAATAAAAATAAATATCTCGTTATTAAAATTTTTCTCAACATTAAGAATAATTGGTATCAAATTTTTACATATAATTTAAAAATAATTAAGCAATATCAAGTATCATTATTAAAATATAATTACACACCCTATCACATATAACAGTAAAAATAATAATATCATCATTAATTTGGGAATTTTAGATACCAAAAATTGTACAGTGGACCAGTTCACATGCCGTTCAGGCAACGGTGAATGTGTGGCACTGGCTTGGATGTGCGACGATAACCCAGACTGCTCAGATGGTTCTGACGAGGCTGACTGCAGTAAGCTGCTTAATATGCACCACCCACTGTTAATGCCTTGCGTTATACTATAACCTATAATTATAATAACAATTATAATTATAATCATAATATAATACTAGTCGCACTTAATATCTGTAGATTCAATTCTCCTTAACAAGCATCCTCGCTTTGATAATCTCGTCTAACACTCTCAACTCTGACTCCACTCATTTATTCCTCCATTCATATAAATAAACCTTGCCTTTTATATAATTTACGGCAACACACATACTTATCGCTTTATTCCGCATGCATATACATTTATTATATGTAGAAAAGTACATACATAGTGGCTAGTATGTACAAACATAATACACATATGAACCCTTATGTTCAAGGATAGAGCTATCGATCTTTAATACTCAACAATTCATAGTATGTATGTGGTATACAGTATATAGTATTACTTCGACGTCTCCTGTTTGGTTTATATCGTCAATTTCCACTCTCAAGGATACACGAAAGCACACTCAACAAATATTCATTACCACTTTGTACTTCTCTGGCCATTTATTGACTATATGCATGAGCTTTTAACTATCATGATCCTCTATAGTTTATGTTAAATTGATTACTTAATATAAATATTGGGATTACTCAGACAAGTTTATCTTTCCATTCACTAGAGGGTAAATTTCGGTCAAAACTTTAAAAGGCCGCTAGCTTATTTTCAATATAATGCTTTTCAATTTCAATTTGGCTGTAATAGAGCACTTATCAGCTATGTTATGCTAGCTGTCCATTTCTTCTTTTAAATAAATATTCAATATCAACCGATTCATGTCAGAGTTGGCAAAGATCAAATTTAGTTTTTCAATTCCAGCTGACAACTCCATTTCCCTTCAAAGTATTACTTACATTTTAGATTTTTCACAGTGGACATTCAATTTTAAAAGGGTTTTTTTTTTTTTATTAAAATGTGTCGGGAAAAAATGCTTTTGAGTTGTAAATTATTGACAGATTTTTTAATTAAATTAATAAAGGGCGAAGTTTGCATCTAAAAACTTTATGTAACATTGAAATTTTTTTTTAATTTTTATTCATCAAATTCATACTTTTAATTTTGAATAATCAAGTGCTAATTATACCTTCTGCGCATGCGCTATTTATCTGAGTCAGTAATTAAAATAAAAATTGACGAGTTAAAAAATACAAAACATTTTATTTATGAAATTTTTAATAAAAAAAAAAGAAAATTTTAATTTTTATAAAAATAACAATTATTTTTTATAAATGTTTAAATATTGTAGTAAAGCTTAGTAGCGCGCTTGTGTTTTGACAATGAAATGACATTAATTGTTGAGGAATTAATTATTAAAAATTAAAAAAACTTATTTAATGATTTTTGCTTATCATTATTACCAAAAATAAAAATACTATACTAGTCTTAGTATTGGTTTTTAATTATCCAAAGAATCAATAATAAATTTACCCGAAAATAGTTTTATAGTTTTAAATAGACAATAAATGCAACATTAATAATTGATATCTATTATTTTAAATCCACTTATTTTGATATTAATAGATTTTATTTTTATACAATCTTAAGTATTCATTGAAATGAAAAACAGTTATTAGCGGTAAACAAAATATTTATGCCAAGAATTTCTTAATTAAATAAAATTAAACCTTTTGTTTTTCATTTTGTAAGTAAAACACAAGCTCATTGAGAAGCGCAAAACAATTTACTTGAGTTTATCGAAACAACTCGAGTTTCTTAACTATTTCGGTAAGAAAAGTAATCTTTTAAAAATATGAGTTTTCTCATTCTTCCTCGATTTAATCGCACCAAAGTGTGCTTTCATAAACAGGTATAAAATAAAAAGTAGTTTTTAAGTAAGCCTGTTTAGTTTTGATTTATTTTTTAAAAATGATCGTCAAAAGTGAGCTTAGATTGATTAAAATAATTTTATAAAATTAAATAAATTATAGCAAAAAAAATTTATTAAAAAAATTTCATCTTTAGAAGCTCTAAAAAATTATAAATGCAATTTTTTAAAAATAATTTTCTAGACTTAGTTTATTTTCCAGAAAAATAAAATATTTTTTACTTGATTTTGATAATTGGTACAAAAATTAGTAAATGAATAGCGCTTGCGCATGCGCATTACAAAGTCAATAATTTGACCAGTAATTTTTCACCCGAAAAAATGGTGTTTACTCTAGTAATTAATTTATTCTTTTCGCTCTAATACTTAAAAGTATTCTTCATATTACAGCAAAATTTAATTAACCGGACAAAACTCATATTATCAATTAATCTGATTCATTAACTTTTAATCAGACATGTTACACTAATTACAACTGTATAGTATCAAAAGGTTTCATTACTAATTAAAGTATATCAATATTTATTTATTGATATTGATATCAATAGACTGTTGTCTCTTCCGTAGACATATCCAGTGCTTTTAAAATGCCTGTTGAATATATATTGTAGATCATGTAATTCTGTGTATATATAATATTTACATACCAATATTACCGTTGCTAATGTGAAAGCAAACTCTCTCGAATTTCCTGGTACAGTCACGTACTGATAATAAAGTAACGATATAAAAAAATTATTAAAATGACAATAATAATATTCTATCATATATGAACGGAACTATTGAATATTAAGTAATATATTCATAGATTTTAAATTTTTCCGCGTATATAAAATAAAATTTAACAATAATTTGTATTAATATTTATATTGCCACCAGGCAATTTAATTATTGAGTGTTAAAACATAAATTAGAATTTTATTTAATACCTAAAGCTTTTTTGAATTGCTAAATGTTGAGTACTTTAATCAGCTTATTCTTTGTCTACTTTTTTCTTTGTTTTTGCTCTCTCTTCTCTCTTCTCTATTTTACTATTTTACTTTCATTTAACTTAAAAAAAAAATTAAATATGTATATTTTTAAAAAAAAGTTTGTTCCGACGTAATAATATTTAAATGAAAGTTGTAATTAAAAATGTTTCTTGTTGGAAAAAATTTTTCTTCAATAATTACATATTTAATTGCAATAAAAAAATACAATAATAATGAAATTTAAATTAGATGATACCTGCCGGTCGGATCAATTTACCTGTGCAAACAAAAAGTGCATCCAAAGCAGCTGGGTGTGCGACCAAGATGAAGATTGCGACGACGGGAGTGACGAGAAAAATTGTCCACCAACGACCTGTCGTCCAGGCACTGATTTTGCGTGCGCTCAGGGATACTGCATCACGTCTCGTTGGAGGTGTGACGGCGATTACGACTGTCCGGACCATTCCGACGAGCTGGGATGTAAAAACATCGATAAGCATTCGAGCTATTGTGCTGAGCACGAGTTTCATTGTGGTGATCACTTGACTTGCATTCACCGGACTTGGGTTTGCGATAATGAAAAAGATTGTCCGAACGGATCAGACGAGTCTCCCGAGAGGTGTCATAACATAACTTGTCGGGCTGATCAGTTTCAATGCGGAGATCGGACATGTATTTCAGGTACTGAGTTATAGTTACTCTTATTTTTATTAGTATTTTTATTTTTATACATGATGCTGTATTTAATATTTAATATTGGCTTCTAATAATTTTTTACATTTTTATAACAATTAAATTAATTAAAATTAATTTAACAGATATTTTATAATTTTAAAAATTTTTGTAACATGTAAATTATGGCAAAAATTGTTAAAAATTAAAAATGCAATTTTTTAAAATAATTTTTTTGTTAAAAAAAAATTAAAAAATGCTCAAGTGGATGCTAACTTTAATGTCATATCAAATTATAATGAAAAAAATTGTCAGATGTCTGTTAATTTATGAAAATTAAATTAGCCGACATTTAAAAATTTTTTTTTATTAAAAAAATTATTACAAATAAATAAAAAAAAATTTTATCCATAAAAAACTTTAAAAACTATAAATGCAATTTTTTAAAAATATTTTTTAGTTTTAAATTAATAAAAAAAATGTCGGCTAACTTTAATATTATTAATTTATAAAAATTAAATTAATCGACATTTAAAAAATTTATTTTTATTGAAAAAATTATTACAAATAAATAAAAAAAAAATTCATCTGTAAAAAACTTTAAAACCTATAAATGCAATTTTTTAAAAATATTTTTTAGCTTTAATTTAATAAAAAAAAAAGCGTCGGTTAACTTTAATAATATTAATTTATAAAATAAAAGTTAATTGACATTTTAAAAAATTTTTTTTATTGAAAAAATTATTACAAATAAATAAAAAAAAAATTAATTTGTAAAAAAGTTTAAATGCAATTTTTAAAAAATGTTTTTTAGTTCTAAATTTTAACAAATCAAAAAAATTAAAAACATTGGCTAACTTTAGTGTTATCACTGTTATTATTTCTAGTTTGAGTTTGGTAGTTTTGCTATTATATGTATTTTAGTATGATTTTTAACAATACGTATTGTTTGTTTATCTAGGCCATTCATATTGCGATGGAAAGCCCGACTGCAAAGACAGCAGCGACGAAAAAAATTGCACAACAAAAGCATCGCCCTGTGATTCACATACACAGTTTGAGTGTAGCGAGGGCTCTTGTATACCATTGGATCGGGTTTGTGACAAGAAGCCAGACTGTATTGGTTGGGAAGACGAGAGCCAAGAGCGATGTGGTGTCAATGAATGCTTGAAAAACAACGGTGACTGCACGCAAATATGTGTTGATATGCCAATTGGTTACAGATGCGCCTGTCGACCTGGTTACCGGCTCATCGATAATCGCACGTGTGACGGTAAGTGAGATTAAACACCACCTACGATTATTCTCATCTCTTCTCTTCTGTTATATCAATCGAGCTATATTCTGCCGTGGTATATACGTTAATCCATCTATCCATTTAGGTACACGGTACACGCTCACTTAACATCATAAATTACAATGCTACACCCAACTCGATCAAAACCGCGTTCAATTAAATTTACATCCATACATAGATCATCACTTCTATTAACTATTATTATTACAAACCCTAATCCTATAATATCATCTATATTATTGAGAGAATAAGCAAAATTTTGTGGCAGGTGTATTTATATGATAAAATAGGTTTTTATTTATTATCACTAGATTATCACTAGGTACATAATAAAGAAATTACCTTGTAACTCGTGAACTATTGACTTTTTTAAAGATATAAGCTCATCCCGATGTTACAATCATCAAGACCTTTCATTTGAGTACCCACATCAATTTTTCATATATTTCATATATTTATATATATTATATATAAATATATGAAAAATATATCAAAAATGCATGTGGCTACTCAAATGAAAGCTCTTGACGAGTGTAACATCGGGATGAGCTTATATTTTTGAAAATCTCAATAATTAAGAAACTACTTTGTATCTTGTGAACTATTGATATTTTTAAAGATGTAAGCTCATCCTAATGTTACACTCATCAAGACCTTTCATTTGAGTACCCATATCAATTTTTCATATATTTATATATATTATATATATGTATATATGAAAAATATATAAAAATGCATGTGGGTACTCAAATGAAAGCTCTTGATGAGTGTAACATCAGGATGAGCTTATATCTTTAAAATCGTCAATAGTTAAAACAGTACAGTGCAATTTAACAAAAGTCATTATTTAATAAATTTTCTTCATTTATAGTTCACAAGTCACAGCAGTCACATAGTGACTTATGATTATGATTGCTATTGCAATTGATTTTACAATTGGTAATAATCGATAAACTAATTAATAATTTACTTACAGACATAGACGAGTGTCTTGAGCCAGGGAGCTGCTCGCAGTACTGTTTCAATGAAAAGGGCACATTTAAATGTACGTGTGCTTCTGGTTATCTTCGAGACCCCAAGAATGTCACGAGGTGTAAAGCTGCCGAGGGACATGCCAGTCTATTGTTTGCTCGTCGACATGATATCAGAAAAGTTGCGCTAGATAGACAAGAAATGACGGCTATTGTTAATAATACCAAAATGGCAACGGCGTTAGATTTTGTATTTCGTACGGGTATGATATTTTGGAGTGACGTACACGAGAAAAAAATATACAAAGCTCCAATTGACGAGGGTAATGAGCGGACGGTGGTTATTGACAAGGATTCAACGACAACTGATGGGCTTGCTGTTGATTGGATTTATAATCATATTTATTGGACGGATGCTGGGAAGAATACCATTGAGCTTGCTAATTTTGAAGGTAATATGCGTAAAACGTTGATTAAGGATCAAATACAAGAGCCCAGAGCTATTGCATTGAATCCACTGGAGGGATGGATGTTTTGGACAGATTGGGGTGATGAGGCACGCATTGAAAGAGCCGGGATGGATGGATCTCATCGATCAGTATGTATTTTATCTCTTTGCTTTTTTATTTACTTTTTTTTATCATTATTTATCCTGTCACTGATAGCATTAATTACTCTGCTAATTTATTTTTTTTTTCTCTTCAGGTTATTGTGGGGAGCGAAGTCACGTGGCCGAATGGTCTAACGCTGGATTTAATCGGTAGAAAAGTATACTGGGTTGACGCTAAATTGCACATTATCGCATCGTGTAATTACGATGGAACTGGAAGGCGCACTGTTTTATATTCACAAGATAATTTAAGACATCCGTTCAGTATAACGACATTCGAAGATTACGTCTATTGGTCCGATTGGGACAAACAGACTATATTTAAGGCCAATAAATTCACGGGAAAAGAAGTCAAGTCGGTGACACCGCTCAGGTCCTTGCAAAATCCGATGGTTGTTCACGTTTATCATCCGTACAGACAACCCGACGGCACTAACCAGTGTCAAGCTGTCAATGGACACTGTAGTCATTTGTGCTTACCAGCTCCTAAAATAAATTCACGATCGCCTGTTCTCAGTTGTGCTTGTCCCGACGGATTGAGATTATTACCCGATGGGCTAATGTGTGTCGAAAACGGTAAGTTAATTTTATCTCGCTTCAAGGGGATGTTCACTGCTAATTACCGCTTACAATACATTGAATGTGCTCTTATTCTCACTTGGTATATATATAGAGTTTATTTTGCATCGCATTACAGATTAGAATAGCTATTAGAGCTCTTGTTAGCAACCGTACAAGTTGTGAGGGTACAAAAATTTTTGTTTTTTTATTTTCATATTTTTGTATGGAAATTTTTTATTTATTTAAATTTATGCACTGATAGAAGGATTTATTAACTATTAATAATTTAATTTATTTTGACAATTATTTAATTTATTAAATTTTAATAAATATTTTTTTAACATTCAATAAATATTTATTTGGAAGGAAACATTTATTGATAGTTAACAAGTATTTTTTAACAGTTAATAAATATTTCGTCGAGTGAATTTATTTCACTTGCAATTTCATAAGATATGAAGACTTCTTATAAACAAAAATCATCTTTATAAATTATTTACATTAATTATATTTTTATTAATTAATTTTTTTTAATTAATCATTTATTAACAGTTAACAAATCTTATTAATTAGAAAAAAAATCCTTCTATAGAAATTTTAGTATGATTAAATTTTATCTTTTTTGAAGAATAATTTAAATAAAAATTTTTTTTATTAAATATTCTTCAATGAAAAAAATTTAAATAGTTATTGTAAAAATTTAATATAACATAAATCGTTAAACTCTTTAGAAATTATTATACTCTCTATTGATGAAAATCTAGTTATAAATTCAGATCAAAGTATAACGAACTGTATCACAAAAATTGTTAAAAAATTTATTTAAAAAAATTTTAATGGCCACCCTCATTTCAATAGCATAAAAGTATATACGCTTTGATGGAATCTGTAATGCGATATATTATATATGTATATGCAATGATGCGATATTATATAAAGGAATGAATTTCAAATAGTGCATGCTAATGTATTGGGAAATAATATAATTTCACATTTTTATTTGAAAAAAAAAAAAAACGCTATTAAGTTAAATTTAAATATGAAAAATTTTACATAATTTTATTTAATATTAATTTAAATATTTTTATCATTTTGCATCTATTATTTGCATCAATGGTGCATGAAATAAAAAAAAAATAAATTGGGATCAGTAACGACAACAGTGGAGCCTACGACACAAGAATCAACACGGCCGTTCAGGAAGTTAGAACCTATTATTCCAACGACACCTGGTAAGAATTTGGGCATTAATTTTAAAATAATTAATTATTCATAATCTATAACCAGGGAATGAAATATCAGCATGGTAAAAATAATTCATCATTCTGGGTATTAAACATAACAATCACTAAAAAAAAAAAGTTATAATTTATTGGCCTGAAGTGTTTGTTAAATGTTAATGACTAGCATTGTTTGCTATTGTTTCAAAAGTAATGTGTAAATCATTTGGAGTAATATTTTTTATCTAGTGTGACAGTATTGTAATAATATTCATGATTTACAAAACTACATTGTCATGTTTAAAATAATATATTGTATAATAAATGAGATTTGTAGTTTCAGGACCTGCGGATGCAGCTGATGCTAACGGAAGCAGTAATCCAGGCAACGAGCCAACAGATCCTGGTTTGGTTGCTGGTATAGTTATTGGAGTAGTAACCTTAGGTCTTCTATTACTTGCCCTGGTGGCAGTATTATGCTACAGGCATTATTTACATCGCAACGTTACAAGTATGAATTTCGATAACCCAGTCTACAGAAAAACTACTGAAGATCAGTTTAGCCTCGAAAAAAATAGGTTCCCCTTACCTACGGCTACTGTTGGCGAAGAAGTAAGTTTACTTTTTATTTATTTAAATATAAAATTATTTTTACAATATTTAGATTTTTTTTTTAATATTCAATCATTGAAACTTATCACCAATACTCAATTTATGATAATAATTGTTAAGGCTGCATTCGAAAATATTCTGTCTCCAGATACATAATTAAGAAATTACCTTCTATCTTGTGAAATATTGACATTTTTAAAGATATAAGCTCATCCCGATGTTACACTCATCGAGACCTTTCATTTGAGTACCCACATCAATTTTTCATATATTTATATATATCATATATATGTATATATGAAAAATATATCAAAAATCCAAGTGGGTACTCAAATGAAAGGTCTTGATGAGTGTAATGTTAGGGTGAGCTTATATCTTTAAAAATGTCAATAATTAAGAAATGACCTTATATCTTGTGAACTATTGAAATTTTTAGAGATATAAGCTCACCCCGATGTTACACTCACCGAGACCTTTCATTTGAGTATCCACATCAATTTTTCATATATTTTATATATTTATATATATCATATATATGTATATATGAAAAATATATAAAAAATGCAAGTGGGTACTCAAATGAAATCTCTTGATAAATGTAACATCGGAATGAGCTTATATTTTTAAAAATGTCAATAGTTAAGAAAGTACAGTGCAATTTAACAAAAGTCATTATTTAATAAAGCAAAATTTTCTTTATTTATTATTCACAAGTCCCGGCAGTCACATAGTGACTGAAAGGTTGCTAGTTTTAATTAACCAGTTAAATAAATTCGTCAGAAAATTTTATTCATTCATTTATATAATTAATGAATTTATTTAACTTCCGTTTGTCGATGCCAGAAAACTGGCTGCCAATCACGGGACTTTGTGTTGACAACTTTTGTTTATTGATCAAATTTATTGTAAACAATGACATGTATCATAAATTATATGTATTAATATAATATATTTATTGAATGAATGAGGTATTTGAAGGTAATCAAGCATATATATCTGTTCATATATATCATTGATTAAATTAATTCATTACAATGAAAATAATGAAAATATTATTGAGAGTAATTTAAATATTTATAATTTAATTATGTAATTTATTGCAAATATTGTTTTTATTAATTCAGTAATTTTAATTAAAAAATTTGACTTTATATATTGTAATTAATATAAATTTTTTTCTTTTATAATTAATAAAAAAAATTGTGTATTTTAGGCACAAGAACCGCTCACAAGTCCTGGCACCAATGACTACGTTTAAAAATCATAACGAAAAATAAAATCGTAAAGACAGCGGGCTGATAAATTAAACAAAAGCTGATGGAAATAATTAAGAATTGATTATTGGAAAAGTTTATAAGAAAAATGAATATATACCGAGAAGAATAAAATCGAGTTTAGGCAGTATGTGCCTGACCGAATTGTCCGCCTGCTGCCTGCCAATTAAGCTGTGATTATGTTTATTTTTTTGTACTATTTTTATTATGTTTAAAAAACAAAAAAATAATAACAAAAATACTATAATAATTATTGCATTTTCATCGTTCGATCTAATAGATTTACGTTTATATTGCTCACACATATAAATAGGTAATAAAAAAATGCACTCACTATTGTCACAAGTATATTAGACGTATATCCTTAAAGTCGCCAAACTAATTTTATGATACATATACATAATATATATATATACATATACATATAAAGGTACATATATATGTCTATGTATATAAATATAAATATAATAATCAAATTTAGTATTTTTAAGATCATACTCTCTATCAGTCTCTTTGTCTATGTCACTAAAATTAACAATTTGTTTAAAAAAATTAATTGTAAAGTTTGGCTTAATTTTTAAAAAATTTAAGTGAGATTAATTTTTAAAAAAATTATCTGTGGTATAAATTTCAGCTTTCATTTATTCGAATTTATTTATTTATTTAAAATTGAACAAAATTATTTTATTTATTTATTTCGAGTCTGTTGATCAAAAAAAAATTTTTACTAATTATTAATTAGCGTTAGATTATTTTTTTTTTTTTTTTTATTAAAACATCAGAGTGATGTTTGGCTTATTGTAAATATCTTTAAAAAATAATGAGTTTTTTCAATCTGATACGACTTTTATTATCGATAATTATTATTTACATAACAGTGTATATATAATTAGATTGAATTTTAAATATACATAAATTATTAATCATGGTATGCTAATTCTGGGTTAAAAAATGACGATTTTTATTTCAAGTATACAGCCGAAAAAAATATAATTTTTTTTAAGGCTTTAGAAATATTTGTAATACTAAAAAAAAAAAAAAAAAAAATGTAACTGTAAATTTTATTTTTTAAAGTTATACGACTTAACAACGTGTAGCTCATATCACAAAATAATTATTTACCAAAAGAATTTTAGTTTACACCATTGTAATTGACATAAAAGTAATAGCTCATAGAATAAATCTATCAATTAATTAATTAATTAATAATATTAATGTTAGTTAATAAGAGCAGCTCAATGACACTAAAAAATCTGACTGTGTCGATTTTAATAACGACTATTTAGATATTTCGTGTTATTGGATGAAAATATAAGTCATTGTACAAGTAATATGTATAGAAATATATTTAATATAAGAATTTATTGCTTATATACAATATAAAAAGATAAACTTATACTTAAAAAAAATAATAATTATAAATCATAACATCTACAATGTCTTCTTTAGAATTAAATTAATTCGTGCTTCGTTGTTTTATAATCTCAAAAAAAGTCACATTATTTATAAGAAACATAAAATGTTTTTTTTTAATTTTACGCACATTTTATTTGTTAAATAATTCGTAATATATTTCATTTATAAAAAGAAAACACCCGTCCAAATTACTCACAATTTTTCTTAATTATTTTTAAAAAAATTAACAGATCAATTAAATTTTATTTATTGTGAAACTAATTACAGAACAAAAGTAATATTAATATTAAAATTAATAATAATAAATTATGCTATTTTTATTGTAAACGATGTAAAGTAAAAGAAACAATGCATGCTTGATTCTTACCGAAAAATAAATAACATTTGTGTCTGTATTACTACAGTTTATTTATTTATTTATTTATTTATTTACATGTCCAATAATAGGGTCACTACACAGAAAGAACAAGATGACACTGTATATCATCTCAGATTATAATCAGTGATATCTGTGGTGAAAAAAAAATTCAGATAGCTAAAAAAATCCAGATTATACTGCGTGATAACTGGATTATACTAACTACTATTTGAAATTTTTTTTACTCAGTATAATTTGGGATGATATCCAGTATCATCTTGTTCATCTTATTTTTTTTGTCATAATTTATTTGTTAAAAAAATTATAAAATATCTAAATTAATTTTCATAATACCGAAAGTTTATAAAATTATCAAGAGATTTAATTGCAAACTCAAAATTAAAAAATTTTTTAATGCCTAAAATTATACTACTGAAATCAGCAGACATAAAAATTTTTTTTTTTTTATTTTTTATTGCAAGTCCATAATTGAAAAAAAAAATTTTTTTAAAATTTGCACTTGTAATTTTTTTTCAATCTCTTCACAAAAAGAACAAGATGACACTGGATATCATCCCAGATTATACTTGTTCTTTCCGTGTAGTTAAAAATAATGTACTAAAAAGAGAAAAAAAAATAAAAAGAAGAAAAAATTATTGTTAGAGATAAATTAGATTAGTAATGTTGCATTATTTTATTAATTTATTTTATTTTATTTTATTACATATTTATAATTATAAACGTTAACATGGTTTTTTTTATAATTTCAATTAAAACTACAATATAAATGTTATTAATTAAAGACTAATTTCTCAAGAAATGAATTATTTTCCAAGAAACTAATAATTTACTTAAACAAATACACCCTAAATAATTTTATATTATTTATAACATGAATGTAATTAATCTAATCACACTCCGTTAATTTGTTACATTAAAAAAAAATTACAACCTTTAAATTAATTTTCCTATAAAACAAATTATCAATTTTAACCACACAAAAAAATTAGTATAAATTTTTTATTGTCTTACAAAAGTCTAACATTAAGTATTTCATAAACCATTTTATTTCTGAAATACGGCATGTTATCTTGAGAAAAGTTAAGTTTTCTGTTCGCACAAATAAACTCAGCAAAAGTACACGAGAAAACACCGCAATCACTGCCGTTCATTTGCTGAGGAATGTCTTTCATACTCTCCAGTATCCAATCACTTGTATCATACTTTTGTTTCTTCTTATCCAGACTCTCATCCTCAATATAGCGTTTCAACGCGTACAAACATTTAGGATTTTCTCCGCCCATACTGTCGTAGTATCTTATAGACTTCTCTCTAAAATCTATAATCGACATGCACCAATGGACACCCAGATGAATAGGAACAACCACGATATCTTTCGCGAAGATATCGATTTTTCTCGTCCAGCGTTTCAGCGACACATGTCCTCCTGACAATAATTTCGGATAAAAAAATGTGTTCATAGCATGGACGGGTGGGAATTTATCCGTGCCTCCGCGAGCTATCAGCAAGTTCATATAGAAATTAATGACTTCATCATTGAGCCAATTGAGGCCTGCTAAAGTATGAATATCTTTGCGAGTGATTCGTAAACCAAAGCTCTCAACAAGTACTTGGTTAGGCGGATTAGGATTCAACGCTCTAGCCACTTGATCAAGCATTTCGTCAGTCAATTCTGGCAACGATGGCTCTTCATCATAGTCATCTTCAACCAAAATTTCTTCGGCTATTTTCATCGACTGCTGTAACTGCTGCTCCAGACCAATTTCTCGGGTAAGGCGATTTTGCTTGGACAAAATATTAGCCATGCGTTTCATCTCTTCAGCTTCTTTGTGACGCTGCTCTGTGCGTTCATTGTAAGTGTTGTTGATGCGCGAGACATAATCTTTTTTAATTACATCATGTGCTGATAATTTATCACGCAAAGTGTTGGTAGCTACAATCTCTCTGGGAGTCGATGGAGTGATTGATATTTTTGGTGGAACTGATTTAGTTTTTGTTGATACGGAGTGAGAAGATTCAGCAGAACTTTCATCGCTGTCTAGTTTTATTTCTTCGATGGATTTTTGTCTGTCTTGTTGCTTTGGAGTGAACCAAATTGAAGAGTTGACCGGGGTTGAGTATCTGCTGGACCCGGGTGTGGAAATTCTGCGGCTCTGCGAAACCGGACTCGTGTATTTTGGAGTGGAAAAAATCTCCGGAGTTTTAATTGAAGACTGTTCATTTTCGACGTCGACAACTTCGATGTGCTGCGGCTGGCTCCGGCGAGGTTCTTTTTGTTTCGAGATTTGAACTGTCTGGGGAAGAAAATCTTGCAACAGCTGCCCGTATTTTTCTTTATCTTGCAGCCGGTAGGACTCGCTAAGAGCCGCGTTGCGGGATTTTCCATTTTGTGAGGAATTTTTATAGTGTCTTTTGATGAATTTAGAAGCTGAAAGTTGTCTAGCTTGATTAAATAAATGATTTTTAGAAGCAGCTGTCTCATTTTTGTGACGAAGATATGTATGTCGACTTATATTCAATGGAACTTTACGCGCTGGCTTGTAAGTCGCGTTGTTACCATTTCTTTCGCGGATTTCAATAATATCATCGTCGTCGTCGTCGTCCTCGATTTCAATTACTTCGTGTCCGTTTCGCATTATATGATCACAACAGTGCCGCTTTGTTGGCACACTGTAAAAATCTTCGTCCTCTTCAAAATCAAATGGCGACGGCTCAAAATGTGCACGCCGTTTTCGGGTTTTATTTTCAGCCCAGCTAAAAAGATTCCGTAACAAATCAAATATCATCTTGCTCAGTATTAAAGGCCAATTTTTCATAATATAAAAAACTTATTTTTTTTTTAATACTATCCATTCAATAGTTTTGAAATTTCACTTTTGGAATCTGTAACACACAAAATGTCGCACTTATTAATAAAAAATACATGTCAATTATTTATGACATTAGTTAGCAGTCACATGAACATTTTTTAGTTTTTTTTAACAAATAAATTTGCTTCAAAAAATTATTTTTTAAAAATTGCATTTTTTATTTTTTTAACATTTCTACGTCAATTTTTTTTTTTATAATTTATTTGTTAAAAAAAATAATTAAATATCTGCTAAATTAATTTTCATCAATTGTTTTTTTTATAATTAATAAAAAAAAATTAAATACTTACGTGTAACATTTTTTGCAAAAATTTTCTAACAATTTATCGCAATATTTATGCAAATTTACATTCTGACATCTACGGCAAATTTAACCTAAAAACAATAAAAATTTTTCATTAATATTATTAAATTAATATAAATTAAATATCAAAGAAAAATTGTATTTTAATAAATAATTAGAGGTTATGAACATTCATTAAAAATTTGGACAAAAATTAAAAGCTATTTATTAAAAACAAATTAAAATATCCGCGGCTTAATTAACTTACCGCAGAATTTTAATTTACAAAATTTATATTTATTTTTTTTTTTATTAAATAATAACAAAAACTTTATTTTAAAAAATGAAAACAACAACTTTTATAAATTTAAATTTTGTTTATGAAAAGTTATCTAAATAAATTTAGTACATACTTTTTGTTAACGTAAACCGATACTGAATTGTAGATTGTAATTGTGACTATAGAAAAAGTGGGGATTTTTAAGGCGCCACTGTCGTTTTTCATGAAAACTGAACTTGAGCGACAGATGAGTAACTTCAGGTAATTTTTTTTTTGCTTTATGGTAATTAACATGTATTTATAAATTTGTTATCACCAACTTCATGGTTGACACACTGTTTTCTGGAGAGACGAGAGAAGTCTTTCCTTTTACCTGCTTCTGCCTTCGTCTAAATATTATTTTTGCGAATATTATTAATTGATATTTTTATAGCTAATTGATTAATTAATTAATTAATTAGCTTAATACAGTTTTTTGAGTATCGTGTTTATTATTTATTTTAATAATAAGTATTAAATTATTGTAGAAAAAGATGTCTTATCAATTGTACAGAAATACAACATTGGGAAATACTCTCCAGGAAAGTTTGGATGAGTTGATACAGGTTAGTTGTGTATTTATTTTTGTATATTTATATTTTGATAAATTCTATTAAAATTTATTAATATTTTAATTTATTTATTTAGTATGGACAAATTACTCCTCAACACGCTCTCAAAGTTTTACTACAATTCGATAAGGCTATTAACCAAGCTTTGGCGACACGAGTTAAGTCGAGATTAACATTCAAGGTAATATTATTATTTATTTTTATTTCTTGTTGGTTTTCTCCATTTTTATCCAAGTAAATGGAAAATTTAGCAACTTAACCCAACTTTTTTATTTATTTTTTTCACAGCATTAATTTTTTCAAGATATTAAAAATAATTAATTTGATTTTTACTAAAAATTTATTTGAAATATGATTAAGATTCTATAAAATGAACCACACATTTATAATAAAAAAAAAAAAATAAATAATACAATATATCAATCACAAGCTCGAAATTTTTCAAGTGCAAATTACTGAATTATGTACTTGAATTTTTATATCTAGTTCCAATTAATGAAAATTTAATTTTGTCAAAATATCTAAAAGTTCGTCAATATGAAATTTAATTTTAAAAGTTGAAATTTTCTTACTAATCTATATTCTTAAGAGAATAAGCGAAATTTTGTGGCCAATGTATTTATATTATAAAATGGGTTTTTACGGTTAAATTTGGTATTGTTAAGAAGATTTTGATTCATCCCGATGTTACACTCATCAAGACCTTTCATTTGAGTACCCACATCAATTTTTCATATATTTTATATATTTCTATATATTATATATATATATATATGTATATATGAAAAATATATAAAAAATGCAAGTGGGTACTCAAATGAAAGCTCTTGATGAAAGTAACATCGGAATGAGCTTATATCTTTAAAAATCTCAATAATTA